GGGTGTGGGTTCCCGACGGTGTCCCATTATTGTCTTAGTGTATTTAACAAAATAGTCCTATTGTGAGGTTAGTCAATCAAGACAAAGGGGACCTTAAATACATACAAAACAAGAAAGTATAAAATAATAAGTGTATACACTGCACTAAACCAAACCTTTGAAAAAAACATTTGATGCTAAAATTAAGACAAATAAAAAAAAAGGATAAACCAATAAACAAAAAATAATAAATAAGCATAATAATATGAATGAATTATGAACGAATGTGTTGCTACTTTTACTGCAATACATTGATAGAGATATTCCCTGTCTCTTATACACATCTAGATGTGTATAAGAGACAGCTTAATCGAGCACTGTTATTGTTATTGTTTTGATAGTTTATATTGTGCATAAAGAACATATTTACATCCATTACATCCTGGGCCTGTTGTAATTTGCATCGCCTTGTATAAGTAAAAGAAATAACTAAAATCTTGGTTATAGGAAACACTGTCTATTCAAGTTTTTGAGCTCACGCTCTCCTTTGGGGACAACAAGGTAACTACAAATTTGCGAATGCCTTATACAAACACGTTGTGTTTCAAGTTATATATTCATTAGCCTCTAAGTAATTACTGCGTCAAATACATTGAAAGCCATATTTTTTTTGTGATATCAGAGATTATTACTTAGAATTAATATTGTGTTTTTTCCCTGCAGATGACATGTGTCTGAACACCTAAATGTGGCCAATTCAAAAGTATACCACGATAATGAAAAGAAAAGTTCTGCGAAGTTTCAAAAACATTGTTTATTTAGCTATTATAGGTCTAGTGACACTTTTTATCAAGTCTCTATTGACACCACACGAGAAACAGACTTACATGCGAAATGTTATCTACAGAAACAGTGAAGGAAATGTTCCAAAAGTACTGCATGCTACAGAAGCTTATTCTGCGGCTAAACCAAATTTGTATCATTTGCTCAAAAACAACGAGAACAACGAACATAAAGAGGAATATGTTCATAAAACAAACAAAGCGTCACACAGGCTTAGTACTGAACAGTACCATGAAACTAAAACCCCACGAGCCGCTGAAACTACAAGAAAACCAATGCACACAACGACAGACGAAAATAATACAACCAGTCGTTTTGAGCGTATACTTAGAGAAACAGCTTTAAGACTAACACAAAACCGTACTGTTGTTACGGGATGACATGTGTCTGAACACCTAAATGTGGCCAATTCAAAAGTATACCACGATAATGAAAAGAAAAGTTCTGCGAAGTTTCAAAAACATTGTTTATTTAGCTATTATAGGTCTAGTGACACTTTTTATCAAGTCTCTATTGACACCACACGAGAAACAGACTTACATGCGAAATGTTATCTACAGAAACAGTGAAGGAAATGTTCCAAAAGTACTGCATGCTACAGAAGCTTATTCTGCGGCTAAACCAAATTTGTTTCATTTGCTCAAAAACAACGAGAACAACGAACATAAAGAGGAATATGTTCATAAAATAAACCAAGCGTCACACAGGCCTAGTACTGAACAGTACCATGGAACTAAAACCCCACGAGCCGCTGAAACTACAAGAAAACCAATGCACACAACGACAGACGAAAATAATACAACCAGTCGTTTTGAGCGTATACTTAGAGAAACAGCTTTAAGACTAACACAACACCGTACTGTTGTTACGGTCAAATCACCTGGTGCAGGTTCCTCTGATCCGATTTACGTCATAAGGCGCATCGGCAAATCTATAAAAATTACCAAAACGATACCACTGTATCCATCCCATCAAATTAACACTTATAATAGCACTTATATAATAACAAATGAAAATGCTTGCAAAGGTAATCGTAAAGTATTTGTTTTAACAATGGTTTTTACCCAACATAAGGAGGAGAGATATCGGAGGATCGTTCGTGAGTATTGGGGAAAGGTAACAGTGGTCAAGGATAAGCGTATTCAACGTATATTCCTACTAGGAAAAACAAATAATACAATACTTCAGCTAAAGACCGAACAGGAATCAAACAAATTTGGAGATATCGTACAAGGAGACTTTTTAGATACCTATGGAAACTTGACTTTGAAAACTCTAATGGGATTACAATGGATCCGAGATTTCTGCTCAGAAGCAACTTTTGTGTTGAAGGTTGATAGCGATATCATAGTAAACTATAACGCTTTAATTCCTCACCTTCTCACGTCTCCAACGAATAGATTCGTTGAAGGGCGAGTTCAAGCATCGGCATATCCATTGAGAAGCAAGTATTCTAAATGGTACATAGCCGAGGAAGACTACCCAGAAACTACGTACCCTCCGTATTGTCTTGGACCGTCATACCTTATGTCTACTGACGTAAGCACACAGGTTTTACACACAGCGCAGTTTGTACGGTTTTTACCATGGGAAGACGCTTATGTTGGTTTGGTGCTGCAAAAGCTAAAAATACCTAGCATACATAGCAACAATAGATATATTGTTCGACTAAAAGGAGAAGATATATGGAATAAGATTTGTAAGATTCAACAAATTTTTACATTTTACATAGGGCATGAACTTGACGAAGATCGTGTCAGATTTATTGTCGATAAATGGCACAAGAAAGTAAACTGTAATTATGGTTATTATTGATAATGTAAAATATTATTTTTGTTTTCAAATAATTTTATTGCGTATTACTGCGTATATTTATGTTTTACCATATCAACAAAGGACAAACTGTTTATTATGATTTACCGTCCAGACGCCTGTACAAATCTGGCTAAAATATATCATAGCACCATACTTTTAGTTAGTACGTACAGTCAGTAAAACTGAAGAAGAATAGGAGTAACATTTTGACTATTCTAAGTTTATTTTTATTGAGTACAGTGAAATCAACTGCACAAATAATGCACGTAAAATTGCAAAACGAACACGTTTTATTAGTATAGGTAAGTGAAACGCCCCACTTTAGTGAGTGTCGGTGATAAAAAGGCGTATTAGGCCATGGGCTGGAGGGGGGGTCACTGTGTTCCCCCTCCCCCCACAGTTAAACTTCCTTGGTATCATTTTGTTCCTACGGGCATATAGAACAAAAAAAATTGATGATAACAAGAAAAATATAGGGATGCATTGTATGTACTCGTGTCATTTGTAATGGTCGTTAGTGTTTTATGGTCAATATTTTTTGGGGTGGGGGGAGGGGTAAAATTTATGCCCATAACCTGTGATTTAAAAATCCCATCAATATTATTTTGGTAGCAATGTGTAGCATATATATATATACATTTTTCTTGTTAATATCATTTTTTTATATTCCATATGCCTATTTATAATAGAAAATACTAATTGGTATCAAATCTACTCATAAATATAGATTTGTAAACGTTTGTGAGTGAATTGGGAATAAATTTACAACTTCTCTGTGGAGGTCAATGACCTTTTGACCCCTAGCTACGTCAATTTCTGCCTGTTTCAATTTTTTTTCAATTTGAATGACTGACCAAAATATTGGCTAAATGCTGATATCAATATCATACAAATCCATTGACTAAATCAAGAGTTATAAGCATAAATGTTACCCCCTACCCCCCAAAATTGTTGTTGATTACAAATTTCTCGGATCATAAACATTGACTATAGTACATAATGCATGTTAATTTTTTTTTGTTAACCTCAATTTTTGTATTCCGTATGTCAATAACTACAAGAAAAACACAATTTGTGTCAAATACATCCAAAATGAGACATATGACACTGAAGTTTATTGATATTTTATGAAAAAATTTGCATTTTAGAAAAAGGTCGATGACCTTTTGACCTCTAGTGACGTTAATAATTGTCGGATTAATTTTATTTAAACAGCATATGATTAAGAAACACATATGCTACACATTGCTACCAAAATATTATTGATGGGAATTTTAAATGGTTATGGGCATAAATGTTACCCCTCCACCCAAAAAAAGTATTGACCAAAAAACACTAACGACCATTACAAATGACGCGAGTACATACAATGCATCCCTATATTTTTCTTGTTAACATCAATTTTTTTGTTCTATATGCCCGTAGCAACAAAATGATACGAAGGAAGTTTAACTGTGGGGGTGCACGGTGATCCCCCTCCAGCCCATGTCCTATATGTTCACTAAATAATAAAATATATACTGGATAAAGTGACCATGTTAAATTCCTCAAAATAGGTCAATTAAGTTTACAATAATAAATGACGAATAAGAAATGTCTACTGCATCTATCACAACATTTTAGTATGTACTGTATAATCCAGTCAGTTTTATATTTATCTAACTGTTTGTGTCCACTATAAGCAACATTATTGGCTCACAAAAAATAGGCCTACGTAAGTATAAAAAAGTAGCAATACTCAATATCTTGTTACTGTATGTGGCAATACTTATTTGGATTACTCTGCTCCACAAACATAGACTGATTATCTATTATATTTACAGCTTCCATCATATTAATTGTGTTAATATGATGAATTTCATTTATTAATTCGTCATTCAGAAGCCTTTAATTATACCGTCTATAAAGGACTGTCTAACATACCATTTATAGAGAGGGCCTTATGTAACTTTTTCCATCTGTATGGGACAGCTCCTTTGTACTAAGCCGTCTGTCTATAGAGAGTACTTTATATCATTTATTATAAGTATTTGGTATAGTTCCAAAACATTCAAAATGGGTGACTCATATCATTTAAACAACAGTGTTAGAAGGGTTTACTGAAAGACTATCTTCAAATCGGTTTCAAAACTTTAAGAGGAATCATGCTTACCAATTTAAATTCAAGAAAAGTATAATGCAAGAAGATGTATTATTTTAATTCAGATTGAATCAGTTAATAATCTCTGCACATGTTTGATCTTAGTGAACCCTCCTTTGTTGTGTGACTGGTGTTTTTTATGCATTTTCCTGTTTAAATCTCCAGGGGGTTTTTTTTGTGTGTGTTTTTGCATTGCATTATTGCTTATGGAATTTTACTGGGAAATAATAATAATAATTATAAATAAGCAAAAATGATGATTCAATGTAATATATAAATTTATATATTATGATGGTTTTTCAATAGTCAATTTGTGCAATTTAGGAGTTTTACTTCTCTTTTTAAATGTAATCATTTAAATCTTAATGTTATAAGTGCTTTGGATGTTGGTGTTTGCATGTTTACTTATGGAATTAAAATAATAATTTCAAAAAATAGTAACGTATGGAAATAAAATAATAATAAAAATTAGTAATAATAATAATATGAGTAAAGAAACCTTGATATAATAACTCAAGAGAAATGGAAATTAGAAACAATAATTACATCACTGCAAATGATCAATACAAATATCTTCCCGTTTTTATACCACGACCTCTATCGAATAATTTCCACATCTGAGAAGTTGTCAAATATGTGTTACCGATTGATAAATTTCATTAAATCAATCAATAACGATCAAAATAGATTTAATAGAATATTTACTTTGGAAATTCACTGTATAGCAATTACGAAACTAGCTCTGCCTTGTTTTACAACAGTATAATTGTAAATGATGGCTCCACAAGGCGGCGAACAACCTTTGGCAATCCTTGTGAAATCGTTTCGTTTTCAACTCCATTTTACCGTTTTATTGTTATCGTTATATCGTCAAGATGGGTTTTAAAGTAATCAAAAACTATGTGTATCCTTATCTTATCACGATTTTATTGTTTACTCGGATTTTTTGTTGTTTTTCTGACGAACTTTCTACAGGCCTACTCGGCCTCATATACGAACGAAATTTGCTAATTGGCATTCTGCCGTTGAGGATCGATAAACCGGTCGGCTACAAAAATTGTTTATATCTTTATATTGTTAAAAAAAATCTATTGAAAAAAAAAGTGAATTCATGATGATTAATAAATATTTAATACGCATTCCTATTTTTACTTTATATCTGTTTTATTTAATAGTTAGTATAAGATAATTGCATGCCTTTTTACAAAGTTATGTGCACTTTATAGAAATGGGCCGGTGAATATGAACCATCTACATCTAAAAATTGGTACAATCAAACCCGACTCCATAGCTGATCAATATCTTAAAGCCTCAGAACATTTAGACTTGCTTTTATAATATAAATTTAACTTTAAGCTCAGAAACCTCAATTTTAATCAGTCCATCCTAAATCATGCTTTTATTGACTCCGCCAAGGGGTTTTTGTTTTAGCCCCTGTTTATTTGTTTGCCAAGTATACTTGCTAATTGGAAGAAATAAGAAATCAATGACATTGGTTCGAAACATATTACTGACCATGTTTACCAACAATGCCTTGCACAGAATTAAATTTCGCTTATATTTTTTTGGCTGAATCGCAGCACACAAGAGTCTAATAGGTGTTAATTATACTGCATATAAAAAAAAACACTTAATCTTTATACTATATTTTGAAGTGTTATTTTAACCTGGGAAGATTGAGTGAAGATAATGAGTTGCTGTGAAAATCGAAAGAGCAACATTTGGAGTGCCATCCTGACGCTCACTGCCAACTGAGCAAAACCATTCTAGTTAGGTGCAATGGTGTCTCCCAGCGCAGTCCTTTGATCCAAGTGCACTGAGAAATATTAAGGCTATTCCCAATTAAAAAACACACAGCAGTGTTTCAATGCCCCAACCAGGTACCTATTTTAACCAAAGACATATAATGCCTTGAGCCCAGAACTGTGAGAAGCGATGCCCAAGATGTCAATTGGCATTTTTAGCCAGGACCGCAGACCAGGGTATTCAAACCCACGAGCCCCAAATCAACTGAGAAGTGAGAAGGAAGAGCATATGTAAACTCAAAGGCTGAAGCTAAGACACCAGAGTAGTAG